GAGAGAGAGAGAGAGAGAGAGAGAGAGAGAGAGAGAGAGGAAAAAGAAAAAAATTGAAAATCGAGAAAAACGTTATCGAAGGAGACGGCGGCGAAAAATTTCACGCGCGAATTGCGTTCGATAAGAGATTAAGGATAAGTCGGGCGCGTTCCCGTACTGTGTCGTAAGATCGAGCTCGATCGATAACTCGTAGGGAGATGATTATTGTTTGACCTCTCGCACGCGCGTCCCTCCGAAAACCGCGATCTCGAAAAGGAAGAGGAGAAGGGAATAGAGAAGAGAGATAACGAGGTCGAAATAGTACGACGAAAAAATTACGCGATTCGACGGTCGGTCGGTCGAATTTTTTTTCTCCTTCTCGTTTCGAAGCGATCGTACGATTATTATTATTGCGGGTCCCAAACGAACGAACGAACGAACGAACGAACGAACGAAGAGGAGGCAAATAAAAGCGGTCGCAGCAAAAGCGGAGGTGACTTCATACTTCATTTAGATTAAAGAAGAGCGCGGTAATTAATGATCGATTGGCCGAAGGAAACGCGAGAGAACGATAGAGAGAGGTCACCACCAAGATACCACCAATCGTACAAAGTGTAGTTTCCGCGGACGAACGATAACGCAGCTTCGCTTCAATGAGATTTTCCACGGGTTACGCGAAAGAAAGCTTTATATATATATCCTTTTTTTCTCTTCATCCTGCCCTTTCTGTAATTCCGAAGAGAGTATATAAGAAAGCTTATAATCTTACATTTTTTCTTTTTTAGGTTCGTTCAGGTTTCTCGAAACAATTTTCTGCTCGTTTACTTTTCCTACGTGATTATCGTGAATATGAAGCCGTTGTAAAAGTAACTAGTTAAAAATAAAATTACTTTAAATAATTACTTTATATAAAATGCTCGAATAACATTTATTTGCGATTATGTAAGTTTATTCGTAATTTCAACAGTTTAAATTTTACTGATCGTGGGTTAGGTCGCGATAAAAACGGTTAAGCGACGAAAACGAAGGGATCGAATTGGAAGGAAATGTTCGATGGATCTCGAGTCGAAATAATATTATGGATTATATCGCGATCGAAAATCGAATTAACGGGCAAGTTTCTAGGAAAGTGTTCCAATTTCCAACAATTGGGTCTCTTTCTCTTCCGAGAAACTACAAACTGTGCGTGCGAATGCACAGGATGGATAGACCCGGTGGCACGTGGCGGAACGCAACGATGCCCCGATTCGAACACCGAAACGGGCTGCTGCTGCTGCTGCTGCTCGATGGAATTCCGTTCCTATTCTCCTCATCATCGTCGAAAATAGAGCTACCGCGCCATTTAGACGCGCAAATCGCTTGGTACAATGCCGGTATTCTTCCTTTCCCGATGCCCGATATTTCCACTTGGTCAAAACGAATCGATCCACGGATTCTTGATAGAGATACCGAATTAGAACCTGTTGCGTCTATTTATATACCGAAGATATTGAAGAATTTGTTTCGCGTAACAAGTGTTTCATCGATATCTCGCACAGTGGTTCGAATAACGTATATTAACAAAAATTTACTTTCAAAATGTATAAAATATAATTGTTTCGATGTTACAATGTATAACAACTATAATGATAAAATTTTAAATCCTCTTTTTTATAGATTAAACGAATATATAGAGAACTAATCGATAATTGATCGTATTTCAATAGTTGAGAAATATTGTGTAAATTTTTTAAGAATCAAATTTAAAATTAAATGATTATTTCATATTAAAAATTCACTCAATGTAACGATTTGTCAATGATTTTTTATCGTTCCACGGAATAATGTAGAAACTTTCTACTTTTTTTTTTATATTAAAATTAATTTAATCTATCCGTTGATATTTATGAATTAATTTTAACTTATCTTATATTATAATATATATATAATACTATTCCTAATTTTAGTTGGCAATTTTTTTTTATTTCTTTTAATGTTTGAGCGATCAGTATGCAATACGTATTCCTATAATGCTTTTTTCATTTTATAATTTTTTATCGTTATTTCGTTAAATTATCACTATTTAAGCCTATATCTGGCCCTATCGAATAATTTATAGAATAGGATATTCTCTAGCAAATAATCATTACTTCTCTTTTAATAAACATTTTTCCTCAACATCCGTTTCTTTAAATTACCATTTCTAATTCTCAAGGTCCAGTTTATCGTATGTTTGTGAAATTCGAAACGCTTTCCTAAGTTAATTGCCTGCCACAACTTTTTTGCTACGTCTGCCGCGTAGATATTTTGTGCGGTTACTTAAGAATCATAAATATTTGTACATTCGTATATTTTTTTATATATCGATTATTATGTATTATATTTAGTTATATTTTAATATTATATATACATTTTTAAACAATAAATTATTACAAAAATACAGTATTATTTTGTAAAAATTAAATCTCATATAAGCTCAATAATTTTGTTACTACTCCTATTATTTCCAACCATTGTGTATCGAGTTTGGCAAGCCCAATTGCGCGACACCGCAGTTTTTTTAAACGCCTTTCTTTCTTTCTTTCTTTCTTTCCATTTTTATTTTCCCATATTCTTCACTGCTTAGAAACGATTATTTGGAACAAATAATTAAGCGCGATCCAAGAATTCAACCTTGAAAAAATTTCTCTCCCAAACAATGATACTCGTCTCGTGTTAATTTATTAATATATCTGAAACGAGTGGAGAAGAGATAAGCCTCGCGTTTGCGCTAAATATCCTTGCTCTCGATGGGATTTTACTCGAATGGAAGAACTCGCGGTGTATTTACGTCCATTGAAAAGAAGGAATCGTGTTACTAGATCGACGGCCGCGGAAAGAAGCGATGTAAAAAAAAAAAAAAAAAAAAACGATATTTCGATAGAGAAGAATTCGCGTTTTTCGCGTTCATTTCGTCGATTCTCGAAATATCAAAAGCGAGGTTGTGGTCTCGTTTATCGATAACGGTTAATTGCTCGGGCACCAATAAATTCCTCTCCTCTCTCCTCTTAATTTTCAATCTCTAATCAAATGATTAATTCTAACTCGCCAATTTCTCGCGACTCCTCTC